TCACATCATCATCATCACCATCATCTTAACCATCATCATCTTCACCATCATCGTCACGATCATCTTCACCATCATCTTCATCCTTATTACCATCATCTCCATCATCACCACCATCTTCACCATCATCACCTTCACCATCATCACCATCTTCTTCACCATCATCACCATCTTCTTCACCATCATCACCATCTTTTTCACCATCATCTCCATCATCACCACCATTTTCACCATCATCACATCATCATCACCATCATGACCATCAGAACAAATGGAGTTGTACGACATGTTCATCCTGGTCAAGAAATCTTACAGTAGAGCCACGGCCAGCTTCTTCTACGCCATGCATTGTTAGGGGTGACCTTTGCCACCATCCTCATCATCGTCGTCGTCATCATCGTCATCATCTTCATCATAACCATAATCATCATCATCTTCTTTTTCATCATCATCATCTTCTTCGTCATCATCGTCATCTTTATCATCATCATCGTCTTCATCTTCTTCTTTCTCATCATCATCATCGTCGTCATCGTCATCATCGTCATCATAATCACCATCATTGCAGCCATAGAGAAACCATTCCTACCCGATAGCTCTCAGCTGATCCAGTCGTACAGGGAATTCCTATTTGGTTAGTGGCTGGTTGTCGCTTGTTGTCGTCGTCGTCGTCATCATCATCATCATCATCATCGTCATCATCATCGTCGTCATCAGTTTGTCAGATTCCCTTTCCGATAGAGTTGCAGTACGAAAGCCTGAGATTCATGCAGGCTGAAAGTAGGATGGATGGATGGATGGATGAACGATTGAATGAATGAATGGATGAATGGATGAATGAATGAACAAATGAATGAATGAATAATTTTAGAAATGAAGACTGAGTTAAGCATGACTGAAAAACGAGTAAAATTTTTCAAAATTACAAAAACCCCCCAAAAAATTTTCTCAGATAGATTGAAAGAATTCCAGGAGAAGTGCAAAAAGATGCAAGACGAAATGAAGGAATATGATAAACCAAAAGAAGGTGAATGATTAAATGAATGACTGGATGAATGAATGAATGAATAAAAACGAACGGACGGACAATAATTATGACTAAATTATAATTTGAAATCATCAGATATTCAAGTCGTCTAACCAATTATTTCCCCTATCCATTCATTCATTCATTCATTCATTCATTCATTCATTCATTCATTCATTCATTCATTCATTCATTCATTCATTCATTCATTCATTCATTCATTCATTCATTCATTCATTCATTCATTCATTCATTCATTCATTCATTCATTCATTCATTCATTTATTCATTCATTCATTCACTCCCTTTATCCATCCATCCCTCAATCAGAACTGGACCCACTCTATAACATGACCAGTTCATTCCTGGAGAAAGCCATAAGATGGAGAACTTTGTTCGATAGTAAATAAGATAAATTTTTTCATTTATATCAACAATTAATAATTCTAATTAGACACAATAATAATAATTATTATTATAATTATATTATCATTATAATATTATTATTATTTTACTTTCCCGCCAAAATTTCCAGACTACAACCAACCATACAAGCGAATATTCTTAAAGCACATAACCAGCGACCGAAAAATGCTGGGTAAATAATAATAATAATTATTAAATTAATAATAATTAAAATTAAATACACCCACACACACACACACACACACACACACACACACAAACACAAACACACAGAGGACACACACACACACAGGCGCCTTAACCAATCTCTAAACTCAAATAGTTGTCGTTTAAAGATGATGACAAAAATCATCGGAGTTTCGTTATAAATATCGATCTGTATCGTTAAAAATAACGATGTGTATCGTTATAAATACCGGTTGTATCGTTATAAATACCGATGTGTATATATATAAATACCGATACTTTCTAGCAAAACGTATGTGTGAGAGCCTGCGTATGCGAAAATATTATTATTAATAATTACGACGCACTATAATTATTGATCATATAAATTATGATCATAATTAATTGATTAATAAATATTTTTTATTATGACCGAATTCAGAATATTGGGAGTTGGACGAAACTCGAGACAAAGCCGATGAATTTTACACTCCGATACTCAATGAATATATAGATTATCTCGAAGGTCAAAAATTATATTTATAATTAATTTAATAGCTAATTATATTATGTCGTAATTCATATTTAATTTATAATTCATCATGCGATTTACAATTCCTCACAACTCTCCCTATAAATTGGTTCATAAATTTTTTTTTCAAAGTTCATTCGAACAAAAAATTCAGGAGATGTGAGAGTAGCTAAATTCTTGTGGAGGCCAGCCTTAACTAGATTTTAATTATGTCCTTATAACACATACAGAGTAATTATTATTCAATGAAACACAAACATAAAAATTGACACACACATACACACACACACACACACACACACACACACACACACACACACACATATATATATATATATATATATATATATATACATACATGTAAATGTGGGAAGGAGACCGTATTTTATACAGTATTGTATGAATTCTATCAAGTTGTTGGCATTAATCAGCTTAAAATTTGTCTTAACAAACTCTAAATTGATTAATGCCAGCAATTTGTTAGAATTCATACAATACTGTATATGTACATTACATGTAAACTCATTCATACATGCGCACATATAAATAAAACAATGAAACAAGTCAGTGAAACACAAAAATTTATAGTCCTAATGAAATGCCTATAAGACGAAAGAAAAGTACTTGCTTTCATACTGCAAGATGATAACATTAAACAGTTGAACATTTCTCTTTCAATGGTTCTTTATAAGCATGAACACCACAATACATTAGATCATTCGTACGCATGGAGTTAAAGAGCTTCACACTCCTCACTGCACAATGTCTATCATTCTAGTCAGTTCTACTGTGTCAATTTCAACATGCTATGCTCTCTGGTCCTACCAGAAACAGTCTCTAATAGCATTACTTCTCTGTAACCATCTTCATTCGAAACGTCAGAGATACAGAGATTTTTTCAGTCTTTGCCCAACAGTAATTGCTGAGTTATAAGAGCGGGTGTCGCAAATTGTTTACTGAAATGTTGATCTTGGTTGTTGTTTTTACTGTTTTTCTCTTTATCTGGTCTATGTCACTTTATTTATATGTTGGTCTATGTCTCCTTATTTGGTCTATTTTACTGGGTTGTAGTCGCCTGTTTATACGATTAACAGTAGTGAAGGTTTGCATGCCTGCATCTCTTGGAGTTTTAAAAAGATCGGATAATAGATTACTGGCTGAAGTCTTACCTAATGAAGTTGAACTAATTTTAGTAAAAAGGTCGACTTGAGGTAAACACTCCTGGTTGTTTGACATAACATTTACTTTATCTCTAGACTCTTGGTCGGGTATCATAGTATTTATTTTATCTTTAGTAGACACGTGGTTTATCGGATAGGTGCACTTTTCTGAAGTATGAGCCAGCTTATTGAACATTAGTGCAATCAACATACGGTGGTTTTCCAGCTTTTCATTCAGCCTTATTAGAAAACCGTTAATATTTTAACAACAATCCTTAGAGTCTAATAGAAATGCGTTCTATTCTAAACACTGTTTAGATAGGTAAAAGAATGGATAATTTATTTCTAAATACATATTTAACAGAATCAACTAAATCACTAAATTAATCAAACTTCGAATTTCCACAATTGCTAGATTTAGCAAAAAATTTGTCATTCTTAATTCTTTCAAGTTATGGTTAGGGTTATAATAATATATTGTTATTAATATTTAGTCGTAATTCATCATTCATCGTATTATAATTCACAATTCATAATATTAATAATATTTTTTAATTTTTTTATTTTTTGAATTTTTCCATAAAGGCTTAAAAAAGGACCAAGAACTAGGTTATATAAATTATTTTCTAAACCATCATTAATATATATACTATTTCAGTATCTATTATTGCTACTACTACCACTACTACTGCCACTGTAGCTACTACTACTTCTATACTTCTACTACTGCTACTACTATTACTATTTACTATTACTACTTTCATCATCATCATCATAATTATTAATATTATTAATGCTAAACATAATTTTTTCTCTTCTTTCCAACAGTGCAAACGAACCGAGTGAAGAAGTACAATGAAGCGCTAAATAAATACTTCGATTTTTGCAAAGGTAATGGTAATAGTAGCTTTCTCTCTCTCTTTCTTTCTCTCTCTCTCTCTTTCTTTCTTTCTTTCTCTCTCTTTCTCTCTCTCTTTCTAATGCAAGTTCATGAAAATATAGACACGTAGAGATACTAAAGTGGTGCATGTATTTACGGACATAAGCGATCCTGTATTCATTATTCTGTTCAATTATTTATCTAGCTATTTATTCATTCATTTATTTAACTGTTAAGTTTTCTCTCTCTTTCTCTCTCTTTCTCTCAATCTCTCTTTCTATCAATCTCTCTCTCTCTCTTTCTCCTTTTCTTACTTTCTAGATCTATGTCACTTTTTCTTATGTAGAGCAGTTTATGTCATCCCATTCGCTACTTCTTCACGATAATTTCTTTATTTGCCTTGCCTTGTCTCCAACTGAGCTTGTGCTATTCAGTATGCCGCAAGGATGGGTCTGTTCTCGGTCCCATATTGTTTCTTGTATGCCCAGCCGATGTTTTTAACATAGTCGATAGTCACGACTTTAAATACTAGGCTTATACAGATGACATTCAGGTTATTGCCACTGGTCCTTTTTTAGCGTTTCCAGTTTTGATTGATAGATTTGTATTATGTCTTGGTGAAGTTGATCATTGGGTGAAAAAGCATCGCCTTAAACTAAATACACGTAAAATACGGCTTATGAAAGTTAACACACGGCAGCAGCTATCAAAATTTACTTATTGAATCGGTTAATATTGTTGGCAATTCAGTTGACTTTTGTACATCTGTGCACAATCTGGGAGTGATTTTGGTGCAAGGCCATGTTAGATCACTTGCAAGGGAATGCTATCATCGTATATGTGGGTTGAGATTTGTTCGGAAATTATTAAATAAAGACATCTTACGAAGTTTAATTACATGCGTTCGTACATTCAAAGTTGGATTATTGCTATGTTTTGTTCTCTGGCATTCCAAATAAAGTGACTAGTCAGCCGCAGTCAATACAGAATCGGACTGCAAAGATTGTAATGGGTGCATCAAAGTTCGAACATGTTACTCCAATGTTGCGTGAATTGCATTGGCTGTCAGTTAAGAAAAGAGTTGTCTTCGGGATTGCTGTTACAGTTTTAAAAGACTCCCAAATACCTCCAAGATGAAACTGTTCAGAGGGACATTCCAAAGCATCGACTTGGATTGCGTTCAGGTGGTTCAGATCTGTTAAAAGTTCCCTTCGCTAAATTGAAAATAGGGTCAAGAAATGTTGCTATTGTTGGGTCGATGATTTGGAGTAGTCTGCCACAACATTTACGTGACCCGGCAATCTTCCTCGAAATGTTTCAAAGGGAATTGAAAGCTTTTCTATTTTCTCTGGGCAGTTCATGGTTTTAGTTACTGGCGTTTTTGAGAAGGTTTGAAAAAGTGCCATACAGGCGCTCATAATTATAACAATTATAATTTAGGGCTAGGTAATTAGCGTAATAATTTTTTTTTGTTCATAGCGATAGCTCATTAGCATAATTTATTAATTTACTTTGTTCGATGAATTAATTATCTATTTATAATTTTTTTTAAATAAGAGCAAGTGAGGAAGGCGCCGGATGTACTGTTTAGAGTCTTTGATGCCGAGTCCAAGACCAGATGTACGTGAATGGATGAATGAATGGATGGATGGATGGATGGATGGATGAATGGATGGATGAATGAATGGATGGATGAATGGGTGAGTGAATGATTAGAATGAATATATTTACGTAGGGATAAATATCACTTGAATTAGATAGTGAATGAATGAATGAATGAATGAATGAATGAATGAATGAATGAAATAAAGGGAATGATTGAATGAATGAATGAGTGAATGAATGAACGAATGAGTGAATGAATGAGTGAATGAATAAAAAAAAACAATTTCGGATAGTTTAGAAGAGTTAAAACGAGCTTATATATTTCAATTACAAAACAGTCTCGGAAGAAATGAAGAAAGATTTCCAGCTTACGCGCGGTTCGTATGAAATTATAACCAAATCCATAATTTGGATATAATAATTAAGTCGTGACGTCATAATTATTTTCATAATAAAGGCCGAAGGTCGTCGTGACGTCACCATTATTTTCATAATGAAGGTCGAAGGTCAATCCCTCTTCGGAGCAACTATAATTTATAATTGATAATTATAATATTATATTATTATTATACTTTTTTTTTTTGAAAAAGATTTTGCCCAGAAGGAAGCTGAGAAAAAATCGGAGATGCTTCTGAGAAATCACAAGAAATACTTGGAGAGTTAGTCACTGAATGAATGAATGAATGAATGAATATATGAATGAATGAATGAAATAGTGAATGAATGAATGGGTGGATTGATTGATGAACTGATGTATTAATAAGCCAATGAATGAATTGATGAATGAATGGATTGTGTAAATTAGTGAATTAATGAAGACATGAATGCATGAATGAATGAATAAAAGAATGAATTGGTATTAACGGAATGAACGAGCGAACAAATAAATGAAAAACATTTATAATCAGTCGAGAGGATCAAAGCCAGAAACTACATAGTCGAAATGGATATGGGTTTGTATTAATTTCTGTGCGTGTGTGTGTATGTGTGTGCGTGCGTTCCTCTGTGTGTGTGTGTGTGTGTGTATGTTTGCAATCTTCACTGTCATCACTACCACCACCGTCATCATCATCATCATCTGCGCCAGGCGAGTAAGATATGTACTTATGTACTTATAAAGATAATTGTTGACGTCATCATAGTCGTCATCATCATCGTCATCATCATCGTCATCATCATCATCGTCATCATCCAGGCGAGATAGATACGTACATAATAAAGATAATCGTTGATGATAAGAACATGAAGAGGAAGATGGCCGACGTCCTAGAGAACTTGTACAGCTACCTATTGCAGAGAAGATGTAGGCGCTGATGATGATGATGATGATGATGATCGCGATGGCGGTCATGATGATGATGATGATAGTCATGATGATGATGATGATGATGATGATGGTGGTGGTGGTCCTGATGATGATAATTATGATGGTAATGATGCTGGTGACGACGATTGTAATGCTGATAACGATGACGATGATGATGACGATTGTAAGGGTGTTGAAAATGATGATGATGCCGGCGGTGTCATAATGACGTCATAATTTATTTTAAAAAAATCAT